AGAAGAAGAAGAAGAAGAAGAAGAAGAAGAAGAAGAAGAAGAAGAAGAAGAAGAAGAAGAAGAAGAAGAAGATCATTGAATTTGAGAAGGGATACTGGGAAAAGCATGGAAAGAATTGGAGGTGGAAAAGGGAGGGATGAATTGATATGGATACAGTTTTACTCATACATGACATTGTCACCTATTAAAATATAAAAAAGGAAAATGGGAAAAATTAAATTCCATTTTTTCATGTTGATAGAAAAAGCTATTCTTTGAGCTGGAAAACATTGTTGCATTTAGTGATAAATTCTCCCTGATTTAGGGTGGGCTAGAGGGTTATTCTAGTTGGTGTCACTGTTATACGTAGAGGTGTTTAAGAGGTTCCAGGAAACAGTGTATTGGGATGCCTGCATCCTCAGAGACTAGTACAACTGATACGGTTGGCCACACCTCACCTCTCCTCACGTTGCCACACACTCCTCTGAATGTCCTCTTCTACAAAGGCACACTGTTTCATGATCCATTGTACCTGTCCTAATCTAGCCTGGCCTTGTTGACAGAATCATGATGTCAGCCTTCGGGACATATTTTTAGGCTACTAATCAATATTTTCATAGAGATTAGATAACATGTTTCTGTGTTAAATGGACAAGCTTCTTAAGGAATCATGGATTCTGTCATTTCACATACCTGGGTTTCAGCAGACCTTTCACAAGCAAATTGTTACCAAAGAATGTACTTAAAATATTTCCTTGAAAATTTCATAGTGTGGCATATAGTTTCTTCACTTTTCTACAAAGAACCTCTTGAAAAGAGTTTTAAATTCTATCAGTGTCCTGAATTGATTAATCAGATAATGGTAAGAAAGCTTCAAAAAAGTGGGTTTGTTATCCTGAAGTCTGAGTTTTCCTTAGTTTTAGATCTGCTGGTAAGTTCACATTTTAGGGGAATCTTCCCAAGAGATAATACTTGATATTATTTTTTAGATGAAAGGATAAATGTTAACACAAAAATCTGCCAACATTGAGGGGTTTTGATGCTGTGTCTTACATCTTTATCCAAATTTTAGTGCTCTATAAACACAGCCAGGAAAGCAGGAGAGGCTTAAGATTTAAGCTTTTCAACCTTCCATACCACCCAAGTTTATCAGTAATTGCATAGTGAAAGATAAATGCTAACTAGGCCAAACAATGCTTTCTCCATTATCAATTGGAACG